GAATAGGTGGGCAACGAGAAAAAAAACCAAGTACTTACTATTGCTTCAGGTGTCTCAATGTAGGTAAGTGCAGGTCCCTGAGCTGTGGCAGAGCAGGGGAAGGGCTCTGGAGGATGAAGGAATGAAGGACACTTACAGAGCACTTATGTGCATGAAAGAGGAAGAGGCTGAGCAAAGTGAAAGATGCAGGCAGTAGGATGACTGGCGTGGGATCTTCCTAGAGGTGAGAGCAGTGCCAAGTAGGAGGTTTGGCCTGGTCCTGGACTATGACAACCTTCTTATGCAGAAGCTCTAGGACCTCACATTCTCTTTTCCGTCCCAGTAAAAGTTCAAAGATTCCACATCAGTCCTTTACTCTTTAAAACTGCCAGCATCCCATTCCATGTGTCCAGTTTTCTAATCTATGCCTAGCATGCAGGGGTCAGGGTCTTTCTAGCTCCTACTTCCTCCATGCCTCCAATGAGGATCACTCATGACAACGAAGTCTTAGCAGATGTCACACTTAACCTATGGGGACGTTACTAATGCTATGAAACCCTCACAGGCACTGTTCCTAGACCCTCACTATTACTGACTTCCTGCTATAGGTTCCCTGGGACAGAACTTTCTGGTCAGCTTCCTCAGGAAAGGGAAACTTGGGCAGCCAGAAAGCTAATGGGAGTAACCTACACAGGAAAGAGCTGTGTAAGCAGAGTAGGGACTGTAATCCTGGGGCCTTTATGGTGGAAAATGTGTATTTCCCAGGCGCTGTCCCCTACTTAGGCAGAAGAGGGTGTTGTAGGAATGGGAAGCACAGGCAAAGGGCTATGTGCTTTGGGCTGGGATTTCATGGTTCAGAGATGAAAGCAGTCAGGGGACACAGACGGAAAAGATGTGACTGTGTGTATCCATCCAGGCATTCCATCAATACCCTTACTAAATTGTGGCTAAGATACAAATTCCAATATCCAGAAAGCCTCAAAGACGAATAAATTTTGATTTATTAATTTATTTCTTCTCATTCATTAATTTGTTCACAAGTTTTCTCTCAGTAGCTTTTAGCATATTCACAAAATTGTACAACTATCAACTAATTCCAAAACATTTTCATCATCCCAAATAGAAGTACAACTCATTAGCAGCACTTCCCTTTTCCATTCATTCACTTTGAAAGCCTGGCAATGATAACATGTTGAATAGCAGAGCACACATTAGAGAATAAAACATCAGAGAAGCAAGATGCTGGAGAAGTGAGCTATAATTGTATGCAGGGCTGTTGGGAGCTTGAATCAACCAAAAGCTGAATAAAGGTCCTGACTTGTCTGGCAACAATTTCCTCTTTGAGACTACAGCAAAGCAATAATGCTTGCTTAATTGAACAGAATAGGTAGCTATTACCCTGGCCCCAATTCTGCTCAATTAGAAGGATTTGGCTGGGAGACAGCTCAGAGTCATGTACGTAAGATTTCATAAAGGCAGAAGTGATTCCATGACATGGCAAATGGACTCACATCTCATAAGCCACAAGACATGGAAGAATATTTAAGCTGCTTAGCTGAGAAGTCAAGACTCAGAAAATAACACAATTACTGTTATCTAGAATCTGAAGGGCTTTTATATAGGACACTAGATTTGTCCTATAGGGCCCTAGTGGGTATAAATGGGACTAATGAGTAGAAAATTTCAAGAAGGCAGCAATATTTCAGATTATTACAGGGAAGGATTTCCTAAGAGTCATACAATCTTAAGGCAGAATGGGTTGTCTTTAAGGTAGAAAGTTCAAATGCAATCTGGATATTCAATAAGTGGATATTGCAGAGGTAATTCAGAAAACAGAGGGTGATCTGACAACTGTGGCATTCCCACACTTGAGCGGTGAAGTCAACTGTGAAGTGTGTTGCAAGTGATCTGCTACAATCATAAAAACTGAATTATGTGATTCACTGTCTTTAGATTCTGGGTTATCATTATAACACCACTAATTATTAAGCATTTTCTTCAGCAAAAAAATGAAAGAGTCCATATTGTTGGGTAATGCTAATGGAATAAAGCTTCCTCTCAAGTGTGTTTATAGGCTAAAAAAAGGGATAGATCAGTTGAGTGGTAGTATCCCTTCCAAAGCAGAGTTTCCATGAGTGTAGGTAATACCCTGTACTCAGCCTTTAAGCTAATTATGATCTATTAATTATGAACAGGCAATCACTGTATTTTGTACAATTGATTGTCTATGTTTTACATCTGATAGAAGATATTGGTAAATGCCTGGAAGCACATTGAACTCTACAGAAAGGGAGAGTAAGGAGTAGAAATTCTGTATCTATTTTATTTTTCATAAAATAGTTATTCAGATGACTTTAGTGAGACCAAAGAAAAGTATAACTTTTATACAGTATTCTCTTTAAATAAACATGGCTACAGGTAATATAAATATGCCCAGAAAACATTATTTGCTTTTTAAAACATTAAACATTTTTTCCTCTAAGCAAGAATTGACATGAACAGTAACTAACGGAACCTGAACTTAGCCAACTTCACTCCAATCCAAACTGGAATTGACTTTTTACTTTTCATCTCCCTGGATAAATGGCCTTGGCAGAAACTGCTGTCACAAAAGCCAACTGTAGAAGTACCCCCCCTTAAAAATGCTTGACTGACCACCTCAGGCCTTTCCTGAGTCTTCTCTGGCTTCTTTCTCAGGTCCTTTTGCTAATGCCCTGCCAAATGAACAGATGTCAACCGTCCTTCTGGAATGCAAGAAAAACCGAGTAGATGGAAGGGGTCTGATCACCTGGTGCAGTAGGGCTACTGGGCAGCTTGTGATTTCTGGCACCTCATAATTTTTTTATTACAAAATTTTTTCATTATAAAGCTATTATTGCCACATTATAAAAATTTAGAAAGCAGAGGAAAGAGAAAAATCACTTGTGATCCCATCATCCCAATAAAATCACTGTTTGCATGTGGGTGCATTGCTTACTTTTCCTCAGGGCTCTCTTTCATCTACTTAACTTATTTATCCCCCACCTCCACTAAAAGGATTTGCATCAACTCACAGAAGTAGCATCGGACAAAAAACTCCACATCAATACTCTGCCAAACCAGCACGTCCTCCTAACTTTTGGATTTCTACATCCTAGGTTCTATCTCCCCATCATCTAGGTTGAATCTTCATGCCATGGAGTTCCTCTCCTTCTATTCCAACACCCATTCCTACAGATTCTTCTGTCATTATCCCCTTCTACATCTGTCCATCTCAGCTCTCATGGATCTTGCTCCTCTCTCCAGTCTAGATCTTTATGCCCAAACGATTTCAACATTCTTCTGGCTTGATTCTCTGTCTCTACTTCCTCTCCTCTTCCTTCATTTTGCACTGCTAAATTATTTTGCTCATTTTGCTTGAACTCCTCCTGGACAATACCTATGTGGCTTTCTATTGTGTGACAAATAAGGAATATTCTTTGTATGAAAATTTGCACCCAGTGTACCTTTCTTGCCATATCTTTTATCCTTTCCTCTGCAAAGCCTCTGCTGGCACAATTGTGCTCTAGATATGGAGCTGCAATGTATAGGATAAATGAGGCAGGACATGTGCCAGCTCCCTGTTGACCAGCAGAGGTAGAGAAACAGGTATTAGCCTTCTTCCATTAACAACTATAAAATGGGACAGACTAAACAAAGATACTGTTTTTAAGCATTAGACTAATAGAACAGAGCTGTGACCCTGGAGGGAAGAAAGACCCACAGTCACTAGGCCTTCTGCCTGGGGTACTTTTCACACTGGTCCTCATAGAAAGCAGGCCTGTCTGAGTCTTTGCCCATAGCACAGATTGCTCAGAATGTGAGAAATCAAGCTGGTGTTTGCTTTTGTAAATAGGCTACTCAAATTCTGGATTGTAAAAACACATAATTTCTCTAAAATTTCTATGGGAACTTTTCTCCCTTTATGCTTTATCTTCCTTTCAATTTTCTCTAACAGAAAACACTGAGCAATCTTATACACAGTTTCAAGTGGGGGAGAGAGGACTACTACTAAAAGAAGTTAAACACATTTTTAGGTAATGGTGGTTTCTGTCCCTCAGCCTTCTACATACTAAGCATCACAGCCTGGTACAGTAGGGAAGGATTACAGAGTCCTGAGGAGGTTTGCATTGGGGGAGATGTGAACATTTTGCAGTATGGGCCATCGACGCTCTACAGCAGACTGAAATCGAAAGAGTAGCACATCCATCATGGGTAAGCCATCAAAGGCCACATTAGAGCCAAGGCCATCTGCAGGAATGACCAAAGCCACTACAGTGACCCAGACGTCACTCTAGAGAAGGGTGAGAAGTAGCTGGAGACCATTAGCAGCACATGGTCTGCTGCTAGGAGCACGAAGAATGGGACTATTCTCCTCAAACTCTTTACACTTGTGTTGGGAGTCAACTGTTGCTCTTCCTTACTCCACCTACAATTTCCAAAGACCACTGGACTCAGTTCTGCCTTTTTCTGCCTAGCAACATCCCCAAAGACTATTTAAATAGCCCCCAACAGTCGGCCTTTCACAATCTGCTGGATAGAATCTACAGGGAGTAGCCCAGGCTTCTGCACCTCAGACCTGGAGAGGGATCTCTTAGGAAGGTACCCACTGCATGGAAAGAACCCTCTTCAATCCTGAGCTTGAAAGAAGCCAAGATCTCTCTTGAGAAGAGCCTGTAGAGGATTTCTTCCTATCATTTCTTACATCTAAACTGGAACTAACTAAAGGGCCATGGCCTAAAAGTAGTTCTCTGCCCTCAGAGCTGCCTTCTAGAGGCCTAAGAAGAGCCCAAGTGAAAGGACATTTCTCACCCTTACCAGAGTCACTCCAGGAACACAATCTTGAGTTCACAGTTGTACAGGCTCCTGAACAACAGCAAGTTCAGGAACAAAGCAAACCCAATTTTGCACATTACCTTGTCTAGGGAGCTCAGTGCAGCCTGGCAAAGCACAGGTATGAGGATTGCATGCTACCAGGAATGGCAGAGAAATTTCCATCCTACCTTCAGCTAGTGGCCTGCAGGAGAGAGCATCATCGAGGTCTCGGGCAGTTGATGGGTCAATGGTGAAGATACAGTCTTTTCTGGGAAAAAGATTTAAAATATAATTAGTGCACAAGCAATAGAAACTGTAATTCACTCTAGTACTGCACTAAAGAACAGATCATTTGCAGCTGTGCTTTGTCACACAGAGTAAAAAGTGACTTGGATAATCTCTAAGAAGGAAGAAACATGAAAATAAAATGTGAAGCCAGGGAGAAACAAATAGTGACTGCCTTCCTCTTCCTCTCTGAGTAAGAATAGGTGCAAGTGGATGGCAGTGAGGCTTCTTCCCAAGGGTTCTCTAACAAGAGGGGCAAGTCCCTTTGGTCAGTTAGTCTCCATTGGTCAGTTCTTATTTTGCTTCCCCATTTCCAAGAGTAATGGAAGCCTGTCCTTCAAGGATCAGCTGAAGATGCTTACTGCTCCTCCTATCTTGAATAAATGAGGTGTGCCAAAGAGCAAATTACCTTACTTGTGACGCCAGGACAAGACCCAAGAATAAGTTCTGCAAAAAAATCTCGCGCCTTACGGTTAACTGTAACACAATTGTACTTGGAACTAGCCCAGATCACAGTTTGTGTCTCTAGAATAATCACGTACTTTATTCAAGCTCAACCTCAAGCACAGCCCATGCTCATTTATCTTCACACAACATCCTTTTGTGCAACTCATGGCTGATCAATTTGTTTTATCATTTCCCACATAACATGCTGCTCCAACCCACCTGTTCCTACTCTACAAATAGCTACCGGTGTTGGTAACAGCTACCTTCAGTTCCTCAGCCATTGGCCCTCTCCCACCCAGGTGTTGGGCTAGAAACTGGGGAGTACTGCAACAACCGTCCCCCTGCCCCTGCACTGCACTTTGTATTGGCACTCCTAGATCCCTGGACTCTTCAAGTCCCTGTAGGTCATCCACCACTACCCTGTCTCCTCTTGACTCATCAGCACTGGTATGGGTACCATGCTGGTCTTGACTGCAGTTAGGTAGGCTTGTTCTTAAACACTTCTCTCCCACGGTCGCTGCTCTGCTTAAAACTTCCACAAAGTCCTGAGCCTACCATGCTGCTCCAACATAGACAGCCAAACTCTCAGAGCCTCTTAAATACAACTCTGTACTGTCCACTGCTCTTATTCCTCATCATCCTCCACAGCCACCTCCATCTCTCACATTGATCCCCTCCCTACCTCAATACCTAAATTCTAAGACAGTATTAATTATAAGATGCATCATCACTTCAACAATTGCTTTTTGGAGAAATAAAAATCCTACCACATTAGATAGATGATAGAGATAGACAGATAGATAGATAGATACAAATGTGCTTCAGGTTTCAGAAATGTTATATTTTTTAAAAGGAATCTTAAGCTGGGTGTGGTGGTACATGCAGGAGGATCTTGCTATGAACCTGGGCTACACAGCAAGATTCCTACTGGGGATATAGCTCAGTGGTACAGCTTGCCTAGCATGCCTAAGGGCTTAGGTTTGATCCCCAGTCCTAACAAAGCTTACAAACTGTGTGATTTCATTTATGCCATTCTTGAAAAGACAAAATTACAGCGACAGCAGATCAGTGGTTGCCATTGGCCTCGGGAAGGAGTGTTTGTGCAGGGGAATAGAACTTTGCTTATCTTGCTCGTGATGTTTTGATTTATACATGTCTGAAAAATCATGGAATTGTATATAAAATAGAGGTCAATTTTACTGTTAATTTAAAAATAATTTTCAGCCAGGCACCGGTGGCTCACACCTGTAATCCTAGCTAATCAGGAGGCAGAGATCAGGAGGATCACAGTTCCAAGCTAGCCCAGGCAAATAGTTCTGCAAGACCCTATCTCGAAAAACCCTTCACAAAAATAGGGCTGGTGGAGTGGCTTAAGGTGAAGACCCTGAGTTCAAGCCCCAGTACTGCAAAATAAATAAACAAATAAAATAAAATAAAATAAAATGTGGGTGTGATTTTTGAATTGAGGAAAGTAAAAAAATAGTGTTAAATGTTCACAGGGCCCAATACAGCAATAATATAATAAAAAATAAAATATATGGTTCTAAAAATGTTCACAGGGTTGACCAATAGGTGTTAAAATTATGGGTTAATTTTTTTCTTCTATGCTTTTCCATATTTAAAAAATTCATTGCAAATAAATATTTCTTTTGTCAATGGAAAAAAGTTAACATTGTACTGAGTCTTTCCTAATCAAAAAATGAATGTCGCTGGGTGCTGGTACCTTTAAAACTAGCTACTTGGAACACTGAGGATCTCAGTTCAAGGCCAGCTGGACAAACAGTTCTTAAGACTTCATCTCCAAAATAACCAGAGCAAAATGGACTAGATGTGTGGCTCAAGTGATAGAATGCCTGCTGCAAAGCCCTGAGTTCAAACTCTAGTCCCACTAAAAATTAACAATAAAAATGTCCATCAGATACATAATATTGCTTATAAGGGATTAGACTGCTTAATACAGTCAATGGCTTTAAAAAGATGGATGTAGCACAAGTATGTGCCCACAGGTACACTAAGAAAAGAAGGCAGGGAAAAGTGTGTACCACCAGATGGAGGAAACAAATACATTTAGAGAGCAGTTCCAAGAAGGGTGGGTCAGCAGGGGACCATATGCAAATTAAATTTCACATACAGTACAGAAAACACATAGGTGGAAGCCTCAGGATATCCAGGAAAAACTTCTGTTCTACCACAGAAGAGAGATTGTAGGAGATATAGCCCAGTGATAGGGCATTTTCCTTAGCATGCATGAGGGCCCTGGGTTTGATCCCCAGCACCACAAAAAGATAAATAAAAATTTTTTAAAAGAGGTTGTAAGTAAAAGAGTGCCAAAGAAACAGAAAAACACCAGGGTCCTCTGGAAAGCACGTTCCCAAAGTTGTATTCCCAGCACCTCAAACAGAGGCTGCATCCTAGAAGTATTTGTTGCATGGATGATGGTAACAGGAAAAATCAGAGAAATAAGTTGGTGAGGACCAAGTACTGCCAGCTTCTTGCTTCTGTTTTTATCCCCCATAAAAACTAGCCAAACGGTTTATATACATCGTGTACTCAATAAAAATACTTGTGTAACTAAAGCTGAAATGTCAGATTGGGTAGTAGGAATGGTTTGGCTCTTCTTTCATCATAATGACATCATAAGAAGCTGAAAGAATGTCCCCCTGAGTCAAAACCAAAAAGAACGCTCTGTTAACTTGGTTGGGGGGGAGGTTCCCTTTGGCAGCAATGGGGATTGAACTACTGGCCTCATGCTTGGTAGGCAGGCACTCTGACCATTTGAGCCACTCCATCAGCCCAGTTAACCAGTTAACCAGTTTACTGGGAGGTTAACTAGGAAGCTGTATTTTCTTAAATGTCTCCTATGCTTTGTGACTTTAATTTCTATGGATACAGTGAATGAATAATAATGTCCACTAAGACATTTCAAGATTAAAACTGAGCCAGCCACATGTGACAGAGTAAGGTTTTCATCATTACTTTGCAAATGTCTTCCTTAAGAGAACCCACAATTGTTTCCTAAGGAAAATCCTAAACTAGCAATTCACTACTCCCTTTCTTCTTATTGTTATCTGCTCTTAAACTAAAAACACAGGAAGGCTTGTTTGCTATAAACAAATGCCATCCAAACATTACTCTTGAACAAGTGGCCACAAATTTGGCCTGCCACCTGTTTGTTAATGGCCTATTGGCTAAGATCTGTTCTGTGTTTCTAAATGATTGAAAATCAAAAGAAGAATAGTATTTAATGACACACTGAAATCTTAGTATCTATAAATAAAGACTGATTGGAACACAGCCATGCTTTTTCTTTTTGATAAAATGGCAAAGCTGACTAGTTGTGAAAATAGTATACAGGAGCTGGGGATGTAGAATAAATGCTTAGCAAGCTCAAGGCTCTGGGTTCAATTCCTAGCACTAAAAACAAAAGACTTTATGATGTGGTCCTTAATAGAAAGCTTACTGACCCTTGTTTTAGATCAATGTTTCCTAATATGCCAAGTAAGTGTACCTATTTATTTAGAGGCATTGGGGTTTGAACTTAGGACCTCACACTTGCTGGCAGGTGTTCTACCACTTCAGTCATGCCTTAAGCCTCATTTTCTCTGGGGAGACATGGTCTCACTAGGTAGGCCAGGCTTGTCTAGAATTTATGATCTTCCTGCCTTAGCCTTTTAAGTGCTGGGATTGCATATTGTATCACCATTCTTGACAACTATTTTAATTTTTAAAAGAAGTCTTATTATTCAATCAATTTGGGAAATGCTGGGCTGATTTCTTAGTTATAGGACTTCTCAGAGCCTTTATTAAGTTGATATTGGCAGGTCACACCAGACTCCCTTGTCCCTGACACTCTTCTGTGGCAAAGTATCTCCCAGAAGCAAGGCTTTTCAGGGGAGCATTTCTGCAGGAGCAATAACATGCAGTGAAACCTGGGGCCTACAGCGGGTTTTGCCACAGCCTACAAGAAGTCAACAGAATGGCTACACCATTCACTCAAAGCTGATGAAGGCAGGGGTCCTTTAATCAGTTGACCTTCTTTCACGAGTACTTCCGGTGAAGCTTGGGCAGTGCAAGGAAACAATCTTCTGCACTGAGAAGCTGCATCCTATAGACACATGAATTTAATCCTTGATTAAGTTTCTTCACTTTGGCTGCCAGGGAAGTCAGAAAAATTTTTTGTAGTTTGAACTTTGTGAACCTGCTTTTTAACCATGGTTGTATCTAATTTTCCTACTCATTGATGACTTTTGCCTCATTTCCTACCTTTAAGAAAGTCATTGCATTATATGTGATATCTGCAAGCTGCATAAAGTCATGCTGGGGAAAAAAGCAGAGCACAAAGAAATACATATGTACATTCATTGAGGAACTACATTTCAGAATCATGTGTTGAGGGGTACTGGAACAGGCAGTATAGACTATTATGAGAATGAACTTCTAGACAGAGTAAAACTCAAGAGAGCTCCCAACAAGGACTTGTATTATAGCAGTAGACTCCAAACTTGTTTTAACACTGTGGAAAATTGGGAGAAGCAA